GGAGGACTTGCCCTGTGTTGATTGGCCAACTGGTTGTTATTGCCCATAGGCCCTCCCAGGGCGGTTGTTATGCTCTGCATGTCACTGCACTGGGTCCATAAAGCACAGACCCGCCAGCTAACATCTGATTGGTTCCTTGCCATGAGGCATCTGACCTCCTAGTGAGCAGGACAGGCCCAGCAAGGTCAGGGAGCACATGTTATCCTGTCATGGCTGCCAAAACGGGGTGGGGGGGGGTAGGGGGATGAGGGAGGTGGTCCCTTCACTACAAGAGCTAGTTCCAGGACAGGCTCCAAAGCCATAGAGAATCCCTGTCTGAAAAAAACAAGAGAGAGAGAGAAAGAGAGAGGAGAGAGAGTGAAAGACCCCCGCCCTTAGCTTTCTCTTTTAAGTTTCCCCACGTGCAGCTGGCGGAGCGTGTGGGGAATACATCCTCCCCTGCACCCCCCGACCCTTGATCCCCACAGCTGCCGGCACTTCCCCGCCGGATCGCTCCGTCCCAAGGTCAGCCATCTGGACCGGCAAAAGATAAAGGCCATTTCGCCTGACTATTACGGTGCCTTTTTCCCCTATAAAAGGACTCCCCTTCCGGGGCTCAGGGCTTAGCCTAACAAAAAGCTAAGTCCCCGGGTGCCTGGCGCCATCAATAAACCCTCTTGCTCTTGCATCCAGAGTTCGTGGTTTCGCTGATTCCTGGGTGCGGGTCTTCTTCTATGAAAGTACCTCTTCTGGGGTCTTTCACCGATGTGTGTGTGAGAGAGAGAGAGAGAGAGAGAGAGAGAGAGAGAGAGAGAGAAGCCTGGTGCTAATGGAATAAAGGGAGTGGTACCCTCAGGGCATGACTCCACCCAGCTGACCTTGGATTGATTTGTTCCTAAAGAGCATTAACAAGTCAAAGTTTATGCAAATGAATTCAAGGAGGCCACCAGGCTCCATCCCATGCAGGCAACTGAGCTTAGCAGCTTCAGCCATGTGGTTCTGGCCTTGTCAAGAAGGATCCAGGAATAAAGGGGCCGTGGAATCTTCCTCTGCAGTTAAGGAGCGCTGCTGAGGCCAGGTGTGGGGCAGGGTGTCCCTTCATGGAGGCCTGGAGAGGCCATTGTGTTGAAGCAGTCAAGGTCAAGCCTGGATTGCCTTGGAGACCCCAAGATGTTGGAGATGCCAGAGCCATATAATACTGGCCCAGGAGAGCTGCAGACAGGGTGTGGAGCCAGCCCAAGAGAGAAAGTGTGTTGCGGGCAACATAGCTGGAAGGGTGGAGTCGTTCAAGTCCTTTGACGGGGGACTTAGAGATATTGGATTTGGACTTTGCCCTGCTGGGGTTTGGTACAACATGTCCTGATATGTCCCCTTCCCTTCCTTTTGAAATGGTAATGTATATTTTGTGCCCTTGTATATTGGGTTTTATCAACTGTTACAGTTAAGGAGATTGCCATGAGTCTCAGAAGAGATTTCAAACTTTTTTTCTAAAGATTTATTTATTATGCATACAGGCCACCAGATCTCATTATGGATGGTTGTGAGTCACCATGTGGTTTCTGGGAATTGAACTCAAGACCTCTGGAAGAGCAACCAGTGCTCTAACCTCTGAGCCATCTCTCCAGCCCGAGATTTCAGACTTTTAAACAGTATTGAGACTGTGAAAAAATGTGGGGACTTTTGAAGTTTTGCTGATTGTATTTGCATTATGACAGGGCTACAAGCCTATGGGGCCAGAGAGTGGGATGTGGTTGTTTGAATATCTATCATATATTTGAATGCTTGGTCCCCAGTTGGTGGAACTGTTTTGGGGTGATTAGCATGTAGACAGTTTTCCCCAGTAGGCAGCTACTTCCCAAATAACTGACTCAGAGACTTACAAATTATAAATACTTGGCCAATAGCTAAGGCTAGTTACTAAGTAGCTTTTACAACTTAACCCATTTCTATTAATCCACGTGCTGCCCCGGGGCTCGTGGCTTTTATTTCTCCCATTTTGTATGTTGGACTCATTCTACATCTGGCTGGCAACTCCTCTGACCCTGAAGGGACCAGCTTCCCTTTGGCAGCTATAACGACCGAACACGTGCTCTACGACCTTGTCTAAGTCACTAGAAAGTCAGATGCCTGCCTCGTGACAAGGAACCAATCAGAAGTTAGCTGGTGGCGCTATGCTTTATGGCTCTGGGTGTGCTTTACAGACAAGCCCACAGCAATGACAAGCCCACAGCAATGGCGAAGAGAGCATTGCAACCACCCTGGGAGGGCCTATGGGTCATAACAACCAGTTGACCAATCAACACAGGGCAAACCCTCCAAGCCTGGAGGCACACCAATCCTGAACCTGTGCATACCCCTAGACACTCCCCTTACACTGCCCTATTG